AAGTAAACTCGAGTTAATTCCATGATCCAGGTCATTTTGGCTTGACTGACTGAAACAAATCTATGCAATTTTCAAAGGCTTAATTTACATATGCCAACCCCAATTTTCTCAATACCCGTTCTGTTTGGCATTGTTCCTAAAACACTTCACACCTTTACAACCTAACACGTCCACTGATCCACGTGCAGAAAAGACAAAAGCCCCAGCAATACTGGGCATCTTTCGCTTGCTGGACAATCAATTATCGTCCATCGTAAGAATATAAAGCTTGATTGGTTTTGCTGTTTCATTAAAACTGCATTAGTGCTAATTACCAAGGCCTATCAAAAGATGTCTTTCATTTTATTTGGTTGTTCCAGTTGATTGAATTATAACACCAAGTCAAACATGCCTTGAGGCCCGCTTGGTTGTTGCATGAATAATTGTCATTTACCGACGTTAGATTTGTTTAAGATGGAAGGCGTATAGGCAGCTTTGTTTATTCTCACGAGGGAGCGCAGTTACCTTGCTGTGTCGAAATTTGTTTACAAGGAAGTATAATGGTACATTCGACAAGAACACTTTGGAGTAACTACCACAAGCAGTGAAGTATGTGTAAGCAGTTGCCTYTAGTTTAAACGAATCTGCTAGATCTGTCATGTTGTTGACGCCATGCAAGAGTGCCATAAGGACTTGACAGAAAGCGTTTCAATAAAAACAGAACTTAGACAGGAACGGAATGGAAAAGGACCGGAGGCAGTATTTGTTAGGACAAAAAACAGTCGGGCACGTTTATTAAGAAGATGTACGTCACAGAGTCTTTTGTTAAGCGGAAATAAAAATGACAGCGACGGTACCGGGCGAAGCAGACAAGACTCAACCCTTTCATCTAGCAGCAGTGGTTTGCTATTTGCGAGACCGCTATCAAGTTCTTCTAGGGAACAAGCCAAGCAATCACTCTTTCCTCGTCCGAAATCGAGTCTAATGAGTGCGACCGGTACGCCAAGAGGTCGGCAGAGAAGTGCCTCTGACTCCGACAGGCTCACAAGAGGAGCAAATTCAAAGACATCGTCGGGAAAGGCCTTAACGCCGACTCTGGTTAGAAGATCGAGTTATTTCAGCTTGCAGAGTCTTCGGCGTGCTTTATCAGTGGACGCCGCATCTGCCAAGCGTTTGACAAAAAGAGGCTCTCGGGACGACAAGGATGGCGGAAGATTTGGTCGCGGTTTTAAGGGAATAGTTACAGCGATTGATGAAGAAGAGCAAGAAGAACAACGACAGCTGGTGAGCTTTTTCTTGTACTTGATTATGACGTTGCCAAAATAAAAAAAAAAGTCATCAGATTTACATTAATATTGAACGTAACCCTCGACTAACTTTCTAATCAAACCCTCAAGGTCCCTTTTCGTGTGGGTGGGGAAGGTGGTTACGCTTACTTGATCAATCTGATTGAACCTCTAGTAGACTGCTGAAAGAATAGCTATAGCGCTGGAAATTCACAAAATTTTCAGATCTATCGGCGTTGTTTCTTTGTTGTTGTAGCCTATTTTTCAGTCTTTTTAAAGTCCTTGAAATCGCGCCTTACCGTCGCGACTAGCTTGAGTGCTAAAAGGTTGACGAGCAATTGACTGGTTGTGTTATCATTTTGTTAGCCTTCCATTGATTGACCAATCAAATAAGCCAGCAACAGAGCCAAAACATGTCAACAGATTGCACGTAGGTTGTTTGTCTTTTGACTGGCTAAGTATTGACCAATCAAACACGTCAAGGACAGACGTCAAAGTGGCTGACAACTGTCAATAAATTTCGCTGGCAGTTGTTTCCTGTTGGGTGGACTGAGTAGCTTGGAAAACTAACAGAAAGTTGAAAGATGTCAGCAAACAAAAGCTGAAGCCATATCGAATCATGCTATTAATCAATGCATTTTACTGCTACAAAATACATAGAACATTGTTAACGTGTTCCCATGCAGTTGTTCTACAATGGTCACGAAACACCACTGATGACGTAGCATTACGTCAGCCTGTGAAGCGTTTCTAATTGGCTGTGCTATACCTCTAGCAAATAATAGCCGTGTTACATGCAACTCATCACAAACACGGAAGAAAGCTTTCTGCCTGCTATATGTAAGACGCCTGTCTTTTGGCACGCGACTTGCTCTATTTAATTCTATTTAACAATTAGGGTGCGTTCCGTAGGGGGTGATCTGGATCAAGATCAGTGATCCACTACACTCGAATCATGGTGCATCAAAGTGAGCCGAATGATCTTGTATCACGGATCCTGATCCAGATCTCCCCAAGGGAAGGCACCCTTAGTTGTTCGTTGTTAGATAATTTTTTAGATTTTCTCTGTATTGTAAAGCGCCTTTGAACTTAAGGATACTTACGCTATAAAAATCTTTATTATTATTATAAATTATTAGTTTCTATTTAAACAATAGAGTGTTTCTGTCGAGGAACTATCGGGTGATAGTAGCCCTGCGGAAATTTGATATTCTTAAGGCAAATATGCTAGTTTTAAGAACATCAAATTTCCAAGGGGCAACTATCAGACCGATAGTTCCGAGATATAAACACTCTATTGTCTTTATTGTTCACCACTAAATTTTCTTCCGTGCGCGAGTTCAAAAATCACATTGAATAATTTTCAAGTTTTTTTCAGATGAAAGCCGTGACAGCCAAATGTAAAATCTGAAAAAGAAAACAGACAAAAACCCACTTACTACAATTTCAGTTGTTTATTTTCTACAAACCCGCTTGTTTACAGAAAATTTTTCACGGACGAGTACTCTCCATCCGGGTATTTTCCACGGACGGGCACTATGCTCTGATAGTGTCTCTTCGTGGACGAACACTATCGCACCACGTGATCAATTTAAACCAATAAAAATCGGAGAAAATTTAGTGGTGAACTGTAACGTGTGGTAGTTGACGAGGTCGCAGCCCAGCTCAACTATCACGCATAGAAATCGACAGCGAATAATTTGATTGTTAATTATTAGTAAATCATTGTAGCTCGTTCAAAACTTTATCTAAATCCTCTTCGCAGAAACTTCAAAAAGGCAAAGAAGCGGCCGCTATTTTGCTAACAACCTCACACTGCTGTACAAACTACTCACTATCTACAACAGAACAGGTAGTGAGTAGCGTAGCCAATAATAGAACGGCATTCGTGATAGAACGTTAGTAGATTTACACGAAAACACAGATAAATTAGTTATGCAGCGCTTTCGAGTGGTATACCATGGAATATCCCACGAGTCACTTGTATTTTCTCGGTAAAGACACGAGCATTTATTTATTTGTTTATTTATTATATCTTTTTATTATTTTTGTTTAAATCATAAATTAATTACATACAATACTAATATGACTAGCACTACTAACACTTCTTACAATACTAACATTACCTACAGTACTTATATTACTTACAATGCTAATATCACTTACACCGTTACTGGCATTACTTACAATACAACCGTTACTTACACTTGTAATACTACTCACAATACTATCGTAACTTACACTACTGATACTATTCACAATACCGTAGCTTACAATATTCATTGTACTTATGCTTGACATTTATTACATATAAAATCAACAGAACGAGTATTTGTACTATTTTATACCATTCCACGGAAATACAGTGGCCAGCACAATTACGCGCGATGCACAATGGATGGTTGGATGTAATACCGGTTTTTCTGTCTTCTTATTGGCTGTATTTTCTATGGCATGGCATTAATGTTTTTATTGACACGTTGGTTTCCTGTTGCTTGTTTCCAGGTTCTTGCAAGGTTTCGCCGAGCAGTGTACTTGATTCGTATTTTCAGCTCCCTTTGTCTCAGCATAAGGCGTTACGCTGATCAGGATAAATCACGGCAGTATGATTTTTACTACATCAGAGACATGCTGCCGGGGGACGACGATGAACCAACAACAACGAGTAAAGAAATGCCAATCACGTTTAACAAGCACCTTTTTTCCAGGGATAATACGGTAAAACTATTTTGCATTTTGATAGGAAAGTTAACTCGCAAAACCAATTACTTCAGCCACTAGTAATAGTGCAGTAAGTGCATCAGAATTTGAATCAGAAAAGTGCAACTGGGGGAAGGTGCGGAAAGAGCGAAGCACTAGTGAAAGCCCGGGAAAAAAATGAAACCAGCCGCGCGGGCGAGGAAATAATGAAAACCATTGCGCATGGCAAGGGCGGGAAAATGCTCATAGCCGTTGAAAAACGCGGGAAAATATGAAAAACCATTGATAAGCTCGGAAAAATGAAACCTAATAGCAAGCGCGGGCAAAATCACGTGACGTAAATCAACATCTTACTTACCATAACGGCAACCGTGGCTTTGAATTAATCGTTTAGCTCGCCAAACGTGAAACTAAAGTAAAATCTTGTCATCCTGCGGGAGGCATTAAGAGCAATACTCCAACTTATTGTTTACTGAGTGAAATTATCTGTTTTACAGCTCCATTTCCCCTTCTGGGCTCGCTTGGTCTGTGCGAAGAAACCCGAAGATAGAAGCGAGACTGAAATGAATAAGCTTGTTACTTTGCTGCGAGGAATGAAGAGTTTTGGAAAATTTTCTCGCGAAGCTCAGCGAAACCTGTGTCAGACAATGACATATGCCCGGTGAGAACTTTTATATGTCGTGCTAGTATTGTGTTGTGCATTGAGCAATCGGTATAATGCCCGAAACAAAATCTCAAGGACAAGAGGATAGTCTTGGAGTTTTTTATGCGAAAATTAGAACTAAACGGCCCTGTTTTTCCCAGCGACTCAGATTGGATATGTAGAGTAGACGTCGTAAAGACGAACAGTTGATTTCATTAGAGTGATTTTCAATTGGGTTTCACCCACAAAAATCAACGGCCAATCACAACGGCCAGGCAATCCAGCCAACCAATTAAAACTCGAAGTAGGAACATGTGGCCGGCGTGGAGCCCGGGAAAACTTGTGTGAGCGTGTCACCTTTTGCTTGGATTTCTGATTGGATGAGAAAATGGCGTAATTTTTGTTAAAGCAATCGTTTCTGACGCAGTGATGCAAAACGATAGCAAATGTGAACTGCTTTCGACACTCAAATGAAAAACGCTCTACTGCTCAAACTGAGTTTTAGTCTTTGTAATACTTTTTTCCATTCTGATCTAAGACCCATTTTTGGTTTTTGCTTATTTGTCGCACATGCCCATTTAATGCCCACTTACAAGACACCTTTTCAGTCTCCAACTTTGTTTCTGCTTCACATGTACAGTTATGAACGGAGAAGGATCATCGTCCGACAAGGACATCCGGGATATTGCTTTTACTTTATAGTCTCGGGCTCAGTCTCCGTCACCATCACGCGGAAGGACTACAAGACTGGAGTTTACGTCACTAACACTGTTGATGTACTGGAGAAGAACGAAGCTTTTGGGGTAAAGTCATCATTTATTCATTATCTAAAAAAGCTTTACAAAATGGTTATGCAGGTAACACGTTAAAAAAAGAAAAATTGTGATCTTAACGTAAGGATAGAAAAACTGATGAAGCTTAATGCTTAAAATCGTAGAATATATAAATTTGTTTGATGCCCCATTTGCAAAATGAACCTTTGTTTTTCCTTTTTTGTTCTGAGTTTGTTCTAGAAACTAAAATTTCGGGCATCTTTCTTGTAAATATATAATTAAGTTACTCGGATTCTCAATGTTTAGCTTCAAAATATCTATAAATAACGTATATATAACAGAAGGCTACTAGCTCTTCGTTGCATGATCATGAATATAAGCTCTCAGAAAAGTCGTGCTCGTAGTATAATTGTTAACCGAAAAGTCTTGCGTCCCAAAGTGACTTTAAACTGGCAGCTAAATCCGTTAATCGTGCGGCAAGTGATGTTGGGTACCCCGCGATAGATTAGCGTCTTATGTATAGAAATAAGTAGGAAGGCCACTGGGTAGCAATGAATCGTAGAACGGTCCTTGTTGTACAGGAAATAGCGCTCATCTCAGAAGAAGCAAGACGAACTGCTACAATCATATGTAGGGAAAGAGTCGAGGTTCTCGTGGTAAACAGGGAGACCATCTTGGAATATTGTCCTGACGTGTTTCAACGCGAATACGAGGAAAAACTTCATGTTATGAGGTGAGTCTTGTTCAGGCCGGGCTTCTACGCGTCAAGTGGGGAACTATTGTGTGTACACCTTCAGTGTTTATAGAATGCCATAGAAAATACAGCCAATCAGAATACAGGAAAGTCATTGCATACTCGACAGTGTTACAACTAACTTTCCTATTGTGGGCTTCGCTGTTATTCGTTGGCCACTGTTTTTTCTATGGTATTGTATAAAATAATTATCCAACTATTTCTGGTGGTATACTATGGAATATCGCGCTTGCCACTTGTATTTTCTTAGTACATATACCGAGATAACAGTGACCGTAAACACTACGATGCATATGTGAATCGTGGCTATCGAAAAAGCTAAATTAATGGAAAGATCTGTTTCCATTTTAACAATTTTGCGTTGTATTTCTAGGAGTCATTCTTTGTTTCATGGCTGGGGAGAAGACTTATTACGACCCTTGAGTTTTCGCTCACACATCAGAGAGGTAAAGAAAAGTTCTCAGTATCAAAGTTCGTTATAGGCTTTATTTCGAACTTTTATCGAAACAAGCTTTTTTTAAACGACTTTAAACTGAACTCACCCCTCTTTTCTCTTTCTTTACAGTTTTCTTACGGGAAACTGGTTGACATCGATTCGACAGATTCGGAGTCTATTTACTTCATAATTAAGGTGAGCCGAGGAATTAACTGGTGCCAAGAGACGGTGATCCGTACAATTCTAACCATTATACGATCGACCAGACTTAAGCACACATTCCTATTACCTTCAGGTTGGTAAATTAAATAATTTTCGATTCATCGCATCGCGGTGCCTCATGGTTATTGCGCTCGACTCGAGATCGAGCGGTCTGGGTTCGAATCGATCCCTGGCATCATGGGGACATTGCGTTGTGTTCTTGGGCAAGACACTTTACTCTCACAGGGTCTCTCTCCACCCAGGTGTATATATAAATGGGTACCGGCGATGGACTAGCATCCCATCCAAGGGGGAGTAGAAATATTCCTAGTCGCCTCATGCTACTGAAACCGGAGAAACGCGTCGGCCTGATGTGCCACTTGGCTCGTAAGCAGACTTAAGTTTACCTACCTTAGTTATATATATCAATTTTCACCTTTTTCGCAAATAACGAGCAACGTTTTTCATAGGGGAAAATGGAGATGTTGCGACGAGTTGATTTACAGGCTGTTCTCAAATCTGACGTCACCATCAGTTTATATCGGCAGCGGCCTCTTCCTCGACCAATCGCATCGCTCCCTCGCAAGAAAGGATCTAATACGAGCTATATCAACGTGGGCTCATTACAGCCTGGAGACTCTTGGGTAGGTGTAAAAAAAAATCAAATGTTTGAAGTTATTCGTCTTTTTAGCTCTTTTTTGCTCTTTTAGATTATAAGACGAGCCAGTTTGTTTTTAAAATGGGACGTTAAACTGCTGTGTAAAAAAGACATAAAGAGCGCAGAACGACACGTTCTCCAAACGTTGCAGATCTGTTCTAATTAGGAAACGAATCCATCTCAATAAATTCGTCCTAGAAGTCTCGCTCCGTTTGCTCAGCAATCTTCGTTTTCGGTATTTTGGTCGCGACCACGAGTCGCGACGTCCCGCTAGGCTCGAGTTCTTTTTCCAGATATTTTTGGTACGTAGAAAAAAGAAAGAAAAAACAGAAGAGGCAAGCTAAGTGCTGAGGTTATTACCAAAATGATTGCGACCTCAGGGAATAAGATGAAGGATTGGAAATCTTTCAAACCTCGTCTGGAAAAGTGAGGGACTTTAGATGTTAAATGACATAGTTCTGTAGATTTGTTGGTAGCGAGGCACCGTGATTATTAAAATTGTACATGTATTCCAACGATTGTCAATGATTTTTGTCTGCTGTCAGGATCTAGCGACTCTTGGAACTGTGGGTTCAGCATCAGGGCCTGGGAACATTTTAGTCAGCGCGGGTGTGCGAGTTCTAAAAGTTCCTAAGAGGAGAGTCATTGAATTGAGTCCGAGAGGCCATATGGAGACATTTGAAGAAAACTTCAGCCCGAAACACAGGTTAGAATTAAACTGTTCACTGATCCGCGTATTAGTGGATGAGGACGAATTATGTGATATGAAAATATTGACTATTTATTCAATTCGGTATAGATTATTGTATGCGATATCAATTTTCCTCATATTAATTTCAGAGTTTCTTTGCTCTCTTTCCTTACAGATGCCTCACGGATGAAGAGTTGTACAGAGATTATTTAGCGGCCGAGGCGTGGCTAGACTACAGAAAGAAAGTTGTACAAAGTGTCATAGACTCTAAGGAAGGGCGCTTTATTGCGCATGTGTCCGCTACAGCGAAGGGTTCGTCGGGTTGGACCGCGTGGCCTGGGAGCCAACAAGGAACGTAAACAGTTGTAGCAAATATATGGTCGACAGCTTACGAGAATTCTAAATTGCCAAGATATTCAGATAATTGTGGAGCAAGCATAGTGATATGAATGACGAAACTCTATGTCCAAAGATTTTCTCACCAGAAAAGCAGTTCCATTGGTTTAGTCGAGAGTACCACAACAACAAAAGATCTCTCTGGAATTTTATTACACCTGTTACAAATACTTTTTAAAACAAATATTGGACTACACAAATAAAAATATCGCCAAAATGCTGGCGGCTACACGCTACATCATTTAATTACTACTTAATCTTTACGATGTATTCTATTTTTTCAGTGCTTTGTCAATTTGAAAACCAACAGAGAGAAAGTTATTAGAATATCTTACTTTGAGACGAACATAAGAGGTTTTTGGTTGGTTCAGTTTCCCCAGAGCACATTTTAACAACGTAAGACCAACAAAGAAAAAGGGAAGCAGGCGGGACTTCAAATTATTGATAAAAGGACAACATGCATTCAAGGAAAAGACACATCAACAGAAGACGAGTCTATTTCTTGTACTGGCTTAAAAGCTCTTCGATCTTTGTCAGGTTCTTATCTTTTGCGATATCAAAAACAGTTTTGCCCGTTTCGTCTGTTACGTGTGGGTCAGCGCCCTGTTGACAAAGGAGAGGGAAAATAGTAAGTTTGTATCCAGATTATCTTCAGTTATTTTTATCCTCGTGTCGTGTCACAAACAAAGCAACTTCTCTCGACTAGTCACCAGGCTTGCTGGGAACGCTGTGGCCTAATGGTTAGTGCCCAACACTCTTGATTGAGCGGCCTGGGTTGGAGACCTTCCTATGGTCATTGTGCTGAAAGTCAAGGGCTAGAAACGTTACTCTCAAAATACCTCTTCACTCAGGACTATGACTCGGCTCTCGCCGCTGCAGAGGCTCAGAGGGAGTTTTCCGGGTGGGGAGAATCCGCTGAGCGATGCGAGTGCAGGCCCAGGGCTACGTATACGTCACCAGGTCCATTCGACCTCGCGCCTGCACAGACCTCGCACAGCAGATTTCTACACTGACGAACGTTCAAACGTCCGCGGAGAAGAAAGATAAATTGGTACAGACGATCTGTTAGGCTCACTCACTTCTTTCAAGAGGAAAGCTACAGTAGCGAGATGGTCTTTGTCAACCGCTGCCATCAATGGAGTCATGCCATCTTCATCCTGGTACTAGAACAGAAGAAGGAATCACGTGTGAAGCCAATGGAAAGTGTTTGATAGACGAGACCATGTGGCCGCGGGGTCGACCTCAGTCTCCTAGCTAGTAGGTAACCAGTACAACTTCTCCCTCCCCTTGGCAGGCCAGGTAACACAACACAACACAAAAGGAAGTTAGGCGAAGAAGGAACGGATGATTAGGTACAGAAATGTAGGCAAAAACAGAAACAACCAAGCCTGAAACAATATCGTAAAATCGTGGCTAAAAGCCCACTCGGTTAGCAGCGCACGCCCACTGCTCAACAAGCCCTCTCTGGTTAGAACTCGAAGCCCACCGAACACCCTTAACGCAGTTATCTACGCTTAAGATTATCAGGTAGCTCACACGATACAGTAGCTACATTAATGAATGGAATTTAGAACAAAAACAGGATATTGTTATTAGATAGTTTAAGGTAGTAAAGGGGGTCCGCAAGGATTACGTCACGTGACACCTTTGAAATAATGCAGTGACCGTTTGCCATGTTATGGCATATCGCATCGTTGAAGCGAGGAGAAAAATGGCGGCCAAAGCTTTTGTGTGATGCGGTATGATAATCAGTCCAAATCCATGAAATGGTTGAAATGTCAATGTCAAGCGTAGTACCATCGTCTCTCTGAGCTTTTACAACTTAGGAACATATTTTTTGAGGTATTCCTTGATTTGAAGCCGAACAATTATGACATCTTATGGATGAGTTGGCCGGCAAAAGAATCACTGAGAGGATTTAAGAGCAAAACACACCCAAAGAAGATTAGTGGCTCAACTGAATCAGGCGTTTTCCAGTAGAACAGGTTTTTCTCGCGATATTTATCACGATGAACTTCCTTCAAGGTCAAACGAATCGTTCTCAAGGATTACTGGTTTAGACAAACAGAAAAACACAAGAAGACTGTTCTGCTTTATTTATCAAGGTAGTGTCTTTGAGGACCTTCGAGGGGTGGTCTGTTGTTAACGGAATTAATTTCATAACAGCTCTTCAGATCAACTCGACTCACCATGACCCGAGCAATTATTCGTGAAGAACCCATAATCGGTTTTTTACAGCTTCACACAGACCCGGCAAAGCCCGCCACTAACGCAGGCCAAACTGTAAAGTCGCCTGTGATGAGCAGATTGTAATTAGGCATTATAGTACCATTACGTATGTGGTTTCATTTACACACGCAAAAGTAAACAAAAAGAAAGAAAGGAAAAACAATCCCTTACGTCTATGATGGCCATATTTTCCAACAGAAATCTAACGATTGGAACCTTTCCTGCATCTGCGGCGTAGTGGAGAGCATTGCGTCCGTGTCTCACCTCGGCGTTAATTTCAGTTCCCTGTAAAACAGCAATGCGTACAGTTGTTACAGATTCAAATGCCGGGGGGTGGGGAAAGGGTGGGAAAGGAGGTCAGGAGAGGGGATGGGTAGGAGTCATTAAACCCTATTCTGTGAACGAATTGAGAGTCAGAGGTTGCATAATTGTATTAATAATCACCTCAACAACTGCGACAAATCAATTTTGCTTAGGATGTCCCTCCCCNCCCCCCCCCCCCTTCAATGGCACCAAATGAAAATCTGTATTCATTACCGTAACAAATATTGTAAACAGCTTTCGTCTTACGTGATAGATCAACAGATTTTATGCCATACAATACTTGGGCCAAGTTGCAGCATTATGCAACTGCAGAAATATTTTCAGTCAATTTTCAATGACTTTTCGTTCCTGCGAGTTCTTGGATTGTCTTGTTGCACTCGTGGACTCCAAATGAATTGACCCAGTAAAGTTTTAAGCGTCAAACATCCCTTACACGAGAGCATTGGCGAACAGAGTCAAGCGCCAATGAGAGCAGTGACAACCACGCTGCATCCATTCTTAACTTGAGTTTTTGATTCTCACAATTCAGACAACAGATAGAGTTCTTACCGGTCTTCTAAGATGCTTCTCTACATAGACCAAATCCCCAGTTTGGATCGCCTGAATAAACTGTTCACTAGCGCTCATGGTGCTACTGAAAAATTGTTCAAAAACGTCGAAGAAATCTACCGGGCACCGTCGGAAGTCGGCGAACTAACTAACAGATATATAAAGGGATATTTATTAAATTCTTTAAGCACAGGTCATGCGTGCCACGGAGGGCACTCAGCCATTCAGTTTTGATTGAATACCAAGATAAAACATCACAGTGTAAACCGTTTTGTTTTCTGTTAATGGCGGATTGGAGATTAATGAGTTTTGTTACAGCGTGTGTAAACAAATAAATATCATAGAGGATTGAATACACAGAGGCACCATTCGCTGCGATGAATCGAATTTGTACGTTGTGGAGATGAACCAAGTGTGTTCGTCAGTGACAAGGTGCCGACTGAAGATCATTAGAAGGCTTCTTAATGAGCACAGGGTGGTTCCCAGGTAGCTTAATCCAGCGTCGCGTCGCTCAACTGTTTCTTTTGTGACGTCATCACACCGTGCAGTTGGGAAAACAGTCTGTCGAGCCCAATTAGGTAACATAACTTTTAGATATTTTACTTAGAAGTCCAGATATCTTAAATATTGCATGGGCGAGACTGCATTAAGGTGGAGCTTGAAAACTTTGATTATACAACTTCAAAATAACAAAACAGTGAACTAAGACCAACTAAGGAGCTATCCAATTAAGGAGAGCTCCGTCATACTGAATCTTTTGCGATGTACAAATTACTCTTAAATAAAAGACGGCCTTAAAATGGCTGCCTATTACGCTAGAAAAATGCCAAAAAAAAGGAATTTTACGCCCTGTAAACCAAATCAGAACATGATGGCCGCAATTCATAGTGGTGAAGACTGATACGCGTTATGAGCCACGGAAAAACTTCAAACATTTAGGCTCAGTTTTCAGTGTGTCTTCCATCACGTCCCTCTTGTTGCTGTTCGTGCTGTTTCAAGACTGTAGGCTGTTCTGTTTTAGAGATACGAAGGTTTAAAATTTGCAACTGATCAAATTGATGCTTTAAATTAAAATTCAGCCTAAAACAATAGACCTCAGTACAAGGCTCTGGGGAATAACTACAGAGTTTGTGGGTTTATTCCCCAGAGCCTCGTGCCGAGGCCCTTGTGTTAGGCTGAATTTTAATATATCGAAATTGGTCTACTAATCTCTCTCTTTAAACTCAGTTTCCCAGCCACGCTTGAGAGTGTAATAAAAACTCGCTAAAAAAGCACGATTCTGGACAACTTTGGTTGTGTTTCGTTCAGGACCGAGAGCAGACTGAACTTGTTTTTCTGATGTGCCAAATGCCCTTCAAAATCGTGTAGGAAGCGGCTTTAAAACATGTGTCTTATTAAATTTAAGCAAGATCCGGTGTTAATTTTTACATGTCACCTACAAATCATTCGATAACAGATAAGGAAGTCAGATCGAAATATGATATACACCAATAACAATCCCTTGTTTGGGAAAATTACTTACAGTACTATGCAAAAAGAAAGTTCAATTCAGCTAAGCTCACCCCCCGAATACGAAATGACCAATGGACCCCTGATCTATTGAGTTTCTGTCTGTTATGTCTAACTCTTTAAACGTTTTTTTTTTTTTAATTCAATGAAATTGCTCTTGAATGTGCCACAGGTTAAAAACTTTATTTAATTTGACTAATCGACCCCTATTAATCGCTTGGCCCTCGAAACTTTCTTTCGGAGGAACTGTTTTGGCCTTGCTGGAACTCAGCCTCCCATCAAACAAAAAAACAAAACAACAACAACAACAACAACAACAAAAGACACTGGGTTCCATTCCCCCCTGTTCTCACGGCTTTATAGCCTTGCTGCAGATCGGCTTCATCACCGGGGAAGAATCCTTTGTAGGGTTCGTAAAAGAAAACTTGAAGCGAGAACAGGAAACAGGGATGAAAGCCTTACGGTTTTCTGATGAGAACCGGGATAAAGCCTTGTGTTCACAAAAGGAAACTGGTTGCAGGTTCTTGATGTAGGGATGAGCCCCGAACTGAGTCCTATCGTGTGAACACCACTATAGGAACTCATGAGTTCCTCAGTGTTCCCATGCGAGTATGAGGAGGATTTCAGATGCCCCAAGTACTAACACATCGTGGTCTCCTGCGCAGCCATTATTTAAGTCATCACGCAAACAAGGAGTATTGCATGACTTCCCATAAAAGGACATCACGTAAGGTTGTTCTGTACTGCTCGCCACTCTCATCTTATGGCATAGCGAAAAATGACTCTTTTTCACACGCTTTGTTTGACCCGACCTCCGAAATCCGTATCTTATTTCGGACCTAAACTTGCCTCAACTCACTGTTCAAGTGTCATTTATATTAATAGGGGACGGGGGTGGGGAGGAACTGTGAGAGTAACATGTGCAGCTCAAGATGAACAAAGTACGATGGCCCCAACTATTGCTCGGTACCAAACTTCTTGATCCAGATTACATCGCACTGGCAATACAATTACTACACCTTCAGCTTTCTATCATAGAAGGTATAAGATCGTTTTCAAGTGATGTCGGAAAATTTCAGATTTCAAACTTCTGATCCTGTAAAGCTGCTTTTTTAACACATTGACATTTAGAAATTGACATTGATAATTGCTTGGAAAATAATTTGTGTATTGATTTTGTATCATTTTTGGGAAGAGGTTTTCTGAAAAACCGAGACATCCTAGCTCAAGGTATTTTCAAACATAACTTGAAGCAAACTTCTTCATCTTGTAAAAACTTCTTACGTATGCTAAGGTATACACTGTAGTCTGCATACGAGCCATATGACCCATCAGGCCAGCCTTATCTCCGGCTCAGTAACATGAAACGACCAGGAGTATTTCTCCTCCTCACTGGATGGGATGCTTGTCCACCACAGGGTTACCCCCAGCATTAAATTCGCCGGTACCCATTTATACACCTGGGTGGAGAGAGGCACTGCGAGAGTAAAGAATCTTCCCCAATAACACAACACAATGTCCCTGCCAGGGCTTGAGCCCGCACCGCTCAATCCGAGGCGAGTGCACTAGCCATGAAGCCCCTGTGCCTTACACATATGCTAAGAAATAAACTAAACATTGCAAAATGAAAACTCATGACAAGAGTAGCAAATATACAGTAGCTACACAGTCAACATGAATATAAACCCACTTACAAACTAGTGACACACATAAAACGAGACACAACTGGTTCAGAAACTTAACAGTTCGCTTCTAGCGTTTAATATCATCCATCAAATTTTATTACGGATTCAAAATTCCTTAGTAGTAAAACACATGAAGTTAAATTCCTAAAACGAATTAAATTTTACATGACACTGTTTCCTTTTTTCCTCTGTTTCTCTTTATCTTTGTACAAAAAGCGCCAATCTATTATCAATGACTAGGGTAACATATAGGATCCCCGTTTTGGCAGCACCAAGGGGAATTATTGACGTCACTACAGATTCTTGTTCCAGTCGTCAATTCTGTTGGAAAAGAAGTAAGAAAAATTCAAGTCTCCATGCAGGAAGTGTCCCCTACTGTCTACATGCACTGATTAAATTAAATCTTATTGCCCCTTTTCCAAAATGAAAGCAGCTTCATTTGTTGGCCAACACTTTATTCATGTAAAGGGGGGTGCCCCCTTTACAGAAGGTCAAAACGTTGCATCCTTAAGTAAATGTTTCAAGTGCTTTACCTTTCAATAATCAGTGAGCCTTGGAAACTGAACACACAAAATGAATTGAAATCTGCCAATCGCAACTCTCAGAGGTGACCTTTTGAACCCTTTGAAATTATCACACTGAGTGGTCTGCTCAGGAAGATTGATGGTGGCAAAAAATGCAAGCATTCATCAAGCAGGGTTTGTGTGGTACTGCAAGGTACACAGCAAGGAAGGGCTAATGTTTGAAACATCAGCTGTTTCATTAAATTATCTGAAACACATAATTTCACTGATCTTTATCATTCTGTACTCAGTACAGAATAGTCTGATAGTTCTGTCAAAAGAGCTCATTTTGAGCAGCATTACAAAATTACTTCTACATCAAAGGAAACTGGAAAATAGTAGTTTAGTAAGATAGAGAAACACCAAAGAGATAATAATAAGCCATTAAGGAACAAGGATGGTCAAGTATGTAGAAGATTGAGACAGATTACAAACGACAAACTTGAAACATTTAGTCTAAACTTTTCAAGGTGCTTAAAATGTGACTATCTGCAAGACATACCTTTATGGGTAATCTATTTCAGAAGACTTTTAATATCATCTGTTTCAGCACATTCAAAATAGGAACTACCATCTGGAGCCTTGCCATCTTTCCTTGCACCCTAAAAGAGTTACACATGTGGGCTGCATGCATGTGGGCTGACTATCATTATTCTCTGTTTTCATCATTTATCTCATTTTACTCGTTTACTTATTCACCTCTTAACTGAAATAAATGGGTGTGTGTGTGGGGGGGGGGGGGGGGGGGGGGGGGGGGGGGGTCCCATCAAATTATGGCCAGGGTTGCANGGGGGAAGGGGAAGGGGGGAAAGTGGCTAATTAATGGCATCCTGGAGAAAACTCTGCTGGATTGATGTTGTACTACATAAAAATTTAAGTAAAGCATAGCTACACAAATCATTTGTTATTGGCTGGGACAGTGACTGCACCTCCGTGCATCTCTCCTTCCAAAAAAAGAAAAAGCTGAGATAAGATAAGTAGATGTCATACATCTATAGAATAAGTCCTTTGCACGACCAGTCACATGGTACGGAATTAATTATGCTGGGACGCAGGTTACACAGTGGGATTTCCAAAACAAAGGAACTCGTACCAGTCCCGCTCGACTTTCCTTTGTTTTGAAGTCCCACTGTGCGTCCCAGCATAATTAATTCCGTACCATGTGCCCGGATCGTTCAAAGGGCCTATTACCTTTTGAAGCAACAACTTGACACACTCTGTTTTACTTTCAAAAATGCTTGCCAGTAAAGGAGTTATTCCATATTTGTCAGGACGCTAGATTGATTGAGAGAAAATGTACAATAAAGTTATTAAGTTCAGTAATGGAATGGGGATTTCCAGAGTGCAGATTAATACCATAGAGGTTGGAAACAACCAAGCACACATTATGAACCAGTTCCAACTGTAAAACCAGGTCAGGGCAGCCAACACAGGGCTGTCAATGAGGGCCACAACACATAACAGCTGGTACACGTACCGCTGAGTGTGTTTGATGCACCCTTGATGTTATTGGTGAACTTGCCTGCAGCTGATACAGTTCACCCGATAAGAAACAAGTTTGTTAAGGATATGAAGATCACGAAGGTCATGTGAATGAACTGTACAGTAGAGCAAAGGAAACTTACATTGATATCTGCTCCTTTTGAAAGAAGAAACTCAATTACATCCTTTTGTCCATAATCTGCAGCAAAGTGAAGGCCATTTCTTCCACCAAGCAGCTCTGCATTTATATCAAAACCCTAAAAAGTAAGGATAACGTGTATAATCACAACACAATCAAGAGTGAAGGTTATTTGCAAAGAGAATCAACTTAGAGAATTTTACTTTAAGCTAATCCATCGCATTGTTGCTAAGAAGAAAGAACTTACTCTCTATGGAATTAAAGACAACAATATATGTTTCTATTATGGTGAGCCTGACTCAGTTCTTCATACATTTCAAAACTGTAGTACAACAACTTCTTTTTGTAATTGGTTGTTGTACTAGTTTAATGAGATGCATAATACCTCTATATCCCCGCCAAACTACAAATAATTATTTGGTATGCCGTGTGGGAAGGATAACAACAATCTTAGGAAACTGAATTTCTGTTTATTATTTGTTAACTATTATCTACATTATCACAAGGTAAATGAAAGGAATCTTGACTGGGTTGAATTTACTACAAAAGTAAATTACAAGTTAAGAATAGAAAATCAAGCTTCTGGTTCTCTTTTATGATGCTTCTTTGCATTTTCTGTCCTGTTAATGCTTTTAAAAGGTATTAGAAAAGTGTGTTATATCTCTAGATTAATTGCTGCTATAGATTAATTAAGGATATGCAATTTAGAAATTTGTCGTAAGTTTGCTGTTACATACGTAATGTTCCTCTAAAAATTGTTCAAAATCGATTCTCTATAGTAAGTAGGGTAAAGAAGCTGTCTTGTACTGTAAGTAGTGTTAATAGCTCTGCTGTACTGTAAGTAGTGTATATACCCTTTATTGTACTGTTTTAGTGTAAAGTAACAGCAACAGTATTGTAAAGTATAAGCAAACATAATAAAATAACTTTATTATGAAAAACAACAACAACAAAAAAAAACACAATCAACCTTGAATTAAAACTTTTTGTCTTCCTTTATCTCCTTTTTTTTTCTCTCTTTAATGCTTTATTTTTTAAGCACAATTGTAAATTATTTCATTAATGCTATTTATCATCATCTATATGTAAGGTAAGGTAAAGTCTGCATACAAGCCAAGTGGCTCATCAGGCCGAAGCTCATTCTGGTTTCAGTAGCATGAAGCAACCAGGAGTGTTTCTACTCTCCCCTGGATGGGATACTAGTCCATCGCAGGGTTACCCCCCAGTGTTATATTTGCTGGCACCCATTTGTACACCTGGGTGGAGAGAGGCACTGTGAGAGTAAAGTGTCTTGCCCAAGAACACAACACAATGTCCCTGGCCAGAGCCCCGACTGCTTGCCCCGGAGTCAAGCACACTGACAATGAGGCCACCGCGCCTTCCTTCTATATGTAATTTGTATATATTAAAATACATTCTATTTTTTTCTGACACCTCTGTAAAATAAATGTTTGCGAGAGTTTAAATCAAAATTGAATTGAAGGAGTAGGAGAGTGAAAGGTTGGCATATCTGGGTAGGACACAAAATGTTCAAGATAATTTACGAAAAAAGTCAGTTCAGATGTTAAAATTTGAAAACCCTCTCATCTCCAAATTTCCAAGGACCTTCCTTGATAGGTATCATGTGAACATTTCCTGGAACTGCACTCTGCTGTGTTCTTCCAAGATTTCATTCCAAGAAGAATTAAGTGAAGTTTTTTTTGATCTTTATAATTTCCAGCTAAATTCATCATACAATAGCAACACAAATTAATCTTAATACGTATTCTTACTGCATTGAGATCATGATAATTGAAGACAATACTGAAAATTTTACACCAAGTGAACCATAACCAGACTAGAGTTCTTTTATAGCTTACTTTATTCTATTCTTGGAAAGGTCAGATATTAGGTTTCTTGACTGCGCGACTATCTTACATGGAAAAGTAAAACATTACAGCTTATAGCTGTACTACGAAAAAAATTCCAATTCAAGAAAATTAGCTTAAAAAACAACATATGATCAGCGACTTGAAAATAAACGAGATGTAAGCTGAAACATTGCAAAACTGAAACTCAGATCGGAAGAAGGCACTCAGAAAAGTTATCCTACAATCGTGACTATTAAATTATGAGCCAGCTGCAATGTAATGTCTGCGTTGAATCAATTGTTTGCCTTACGACAAATTGAAACTTACTGCCACAATTTTTCAACAAGTTGTACGAAATACGAGACGAACAACACGGCAAAAAGCTTAAAGTTTTAATCTAGCAAGGAACCTAACCTGCGCATGCCAAAAAAGAAAAGTAAGTCACCACTTGATTTCTTTGGCTTGTTTTGCGCTTGCACGGCTTGGATCGAAGGAATAATCGGAGATGACAAACTTTCGATCTTTTAGAAGCTCATTTTTGCGTCCTATACTTTTATTCTCAAACTAAGAATTTACCAACGAGCTATTTTCGTGCGAGACCACACGCACTTGGACAGCAGACACACACACCCCATAAGAAAGTACTAAGCTTATTCTATAAAGACAACACAAAATCCTCACCGGTTTTCCAACGATAGCTTTGACTTGATCCAGATCTCCATTCTTGCAGGCCCACACTAATTCCTCTCTCATAATGGACGAGAAACGTGAAAAAGTCCTTCTAAATAACACTTATCTTTTCTCGCAGCTAATCTTTGTGTCCGAGCGCCGAATGAGGCTGGCTACCCATAAGCCTTTGCCACTCATCAAAGAGACAATTCCCGGGTTCTTATAAAAACTACTCTTCTTTGCAAACTGAGGTGTGTGTCTGTAAAGGGTGCAAAGATTGCCTTTTACGTAACTTTCAAATCATGGACGACCCATTTACGGTAAGGAGTGTCGCTAAAAGAACCTAGGATAGTCTATTCTTCTATCTTTTTCAAGAAGGGCTGCTTTTATTTAACAACATATTTCTTTGGCTCTGTTTCTACAATAATTAAGCTTGAAGCTCTCAATTGAAACTAATTTTTCCAGTAGAAATCATAGCATTTGATGCAGGTCATGGCCTGTTTTCTGTTCATATTTTATATCTAGAAACCTGTGTTTGTTGCTCTTGGTGTCGTCATTGTTACTGTAGGATTTGGCTTGGTAACGTATTTTCTCAAATCGCAAGCAAAAGGCAGCAAAAAAAGGCCAGTTGCATTAGATCCTCAGAAAAAGATTCCATTCAAACTCATTGACAAAAAGGTTAGTACACTGTGGTCTCCTGGATTATCTCGGAGTATCCTGGTTGCAGAAAGAATCTCCCGGTCTCCCGTAAGGGGCACCAAATCTCCCGCATATGAAATAGGGCGCTTAAAGTACACCCTTACATGTGTTTTGGCCCATTTTGGAGGGAACGCTTTGGATATTTGATGTGTTTTTGTCTTTGAATCGGCAAGACTCTATTTTTCAAAACTTTTTGAGGTGAGGAAGAGGTAAAATTTGCAATCTCTTACATTTCAATTTTTATAGGTTGGTGTACCTGTGTGAATAAGCTTGTTTAGTTATACAATCCAGGTGAAACAGGGACATGGAAGTGGAATCCTGGGGGGAAGGGTGTGGAGCATTTATAGGGGGTGGGAAGTCTATATGGAGAGTGAAGTGTTTAGAGGGGGTGGGAAGTCTATAAGGGGGATGGAAAGATAGAATGCAAGTTAGATTCCCAAGGTGTGGGATCACCTGTGAGATACTAAGCGAACACAATGCAATATTTTGCTATAAAAAAGGCACGGACAGTTGGGAAATTAGAGTAGTGAATGTCGATGAGGAAGTACATTATTGTTAGACTCTTAATTTAAACAGTCCAGCTTTAGTCATGACCAGTGTCCCTGTGTTGTGTTTTGTGGGGTGTGTTGGAAGACAGGAGGTTCAGAAATTAAATCTCCTTGCTTTAAATTGTGCTCTTCTCTTTCTTTTCCATCTGTTTCCTCCTGATTAATCATTCTCTTTTCTGCTCTTGATAAAGACATTATTTTATCTCAGTGCTCCCCTGCTCTCTTCCTCATCCAGGTGAATAAATATGACAACTGGCATTTTGATAGGGGGCACTGACAAAAGGCGAGAGGGTAGCATCCAATCAGGGGGGAGAGGAGAGGAGAGAGGTAGTGATTCACAGAGCATGTTACGGTGTTATGTGATGGAAAGCCAGTGCCTCTGTCCTGCGTGTGTGTGTGTAAAAAATTGATTACAATTTGATTATAACAATCATTATAATTAGGTGGAATTTTAAAACATAAATGTCTTATATAACTCTAGATTGTAAGCCATGATACAAGGAGGTTCCGATTTGAACTGCAATCACCAGAGCACATACTTGGACTCCCTGTGGGTATGTGTTGAGTACAAGTATTTTAATTTTTAATTATTGATAATCATTTAACCTTCTCTGAGGTGATAATAGATTATTCAACTTTTAAAGGAAACCACATGTACCTCAGTGCCAAAGTTGATGGCAGTCTTGTGATCAGGCCGTACACACCGGTAACATCTGATGATGAGGTTGGATATTTTGAGCTAGTAATTAAGGTCAGTAACATATGTGGGATATGTCTTTGACCTTTAGACATTCTTGTGACTGCTATTCTTATTTTCATACTTCATTGCTGGAAATAAATTGAAGGGGTGCGTGCAAAAAAGCCCTAAGTGACATTTTGGTCGATTTTCTGATTTTTGAATAAACATGCTGGATTCACCATGTACTATCATCTGACAAAAGTTTTTGTTCCAAAACTCGCTAGTTTTCACAGTAAAAGACGTTTCATTCACGCAGATTTATTCCCGCAAAAATTACAGTACCTTTACCGCCAAATACGTCACCGCTCATGCTGCAATTGAGGTGGTAATTGCCTCGCAGTGCATACAACCTTCGAGCAATTTGTCCGCCATTTTGTTTCTTNGGGGGAAGGGGAAGGGGGGAAAGTGGCTAATTAATGGCATCCTGGAGAAAACTCTGCTGGATTGATGTTGTACTACATAAAAATTTAAGTAAAGCATAGCTACACAAATCATTTGTTATTGGCTGGGACAGTGACTGCACCTCCGTGCATCTCTCCTTCCAAAAAAAGAAAAAGCTGAGATAAGATAAGTAGATGTCATACATCTATAGAATAAGTCCTTTGCACGACCAGTCACATGGTACGGAATTAATTATGCTGGGACGCAGGTTACACAGTGGGATTTCCAAAACAAAGGAACTCGTACCAGTCCCGCTCGACTTTCCTTTGTTTTGAAGTCCCACTGTGCGTCCCAGCATAATTAATTCCGTACCATGTGCCCGGATCGTTCAAAGGGCCTATTACCTTTTGAAGCAACAACTTGACACACTCTGTTTTACTTTCAAAAATGCTTGCCAGTAAAGGAGTTATTCCATATTTGTCAGGACGCTAGATTGATTGAGAGAAAATGTACAATAAAGTTATTAAGTTCAGTAATGGAATGGGGATTTCCAGAGTGCAGATTAATACCATAGAGGTTGGAAACAACCAAGCACACATTATGAACCAGTTCCAACTGTAAAACCAGGTCAGGGCAGCCAACACAGGGCTGTCAATGAGGGCCACAACACATAACAGCTGGTACACGTACCGCTGAGTGTGTTTGATGCACCCTTGATGTTATTGGTGAACTTGCCTGCAGCTGATACAGTTCACCCGATAAGAAACAAGTTTGTTAAGGATATGAAGATCACGAAGGTCATGTGAATGAACTGTACAGTAGAGCAAAGGAAACTTACATTGATATCTGCTCCTTTTGAAAGAAGAAACTCAATTACATCCTTTTGTCCATAATCTGCAGCAAAGTGAAGGCCATTTCTTCCACCAAGCAGCTCTGCATTTATATCAAAACCCTAAAAAGTAAGGATAACGTGTATAATCACAACACAATCAAGAGTGAAGGTTATTTGCAAAGAGAATCAACTTAGAGAATTTTACTTTAAGCTAATCCATCGCATTGTTGCTAAGAAGAAAGAACTTACTCTCTATGGAATTAAAGACAACAATATATGTTTCTATTATGGTGAGCCTGACTCAGTTCTTCATACATTTCAAAACTGTAGTACAACAACTTCTTTTTGTAATTGGTTGTTGTACTAGTTTAATGAGATGCATAATACCTCTATATCCCCGCCAAACTACAAATAATTATTTGGTATGCCGTGTGGGAAGGATAACAACAATCTTAGGAAACTGAATTTCTGTTTATTATTTGTTAACTATTATCTACATTATCACAAGGTAAATGAAAGGAATCTTGACTGGGTTGAATTTACTACAAAAGTAAATTACAAGTTAAGAATAGAAAATCAAGCTTCTGGTTCTCTTTTATGATGCTTCTTTGCATTTTCTGTCCTGTTAATGCTTTTAAAAGGTATTAGAAAAGTGTGTTATATCTCTAGATTAATTGCTGCTATAGATTAATTAAGGATATGCAATTTAGAAATTTGTCGTAAGTTTGCTGTTACATACGTAATGTTCCTCTAAAAATTGTTCAAAATCGATTCTCTATAGTAAGTAGGGTAAAGAAGCTGTCTTGTACTGTAAGTAGTGTTAATAGCTCTGCTGTACTGTAAGTAGTGTATATACCCTTTATTGTACTGTTTTAGTGTAAAGTAACAGCAACAGTATTGTAAAGTATAAGCAAACATAATAAAATAACTTTATTATGAAAAACAACAACAACAAAAAAAAAACACAATCAACCTTGAATTAAAACTTTTTGTCTTCCTTTATCTCCTTTTTTTTTCTCTCTTTAATGCTTTATTTTTTAAGCACAATTGTAAATTATTTCATTAATGCTATTTATCATCATCTATATGTAAGGTAAGGTAAAGTCTGCATACAAGCCAAGTGGCTCATCAGGCCGAAGCTCATTCTGGTTTCAGTAGCATGAAGCAACCAGGAGTGTTTCTACTCTCCCCTGGATGGGATACTAGTCCATCGCAGGGTTACCCCCCAGTGTTATATTTGCTGGCACCCATTTGTACACCTGGGTGGAGAGAGGCACTGTGAGAGTAAAGTGTCTTGCCCAAGAACACAACACAATGTCCCTGGCCAGAGCCCCGACTGNACCCATTTGTACACCTGGGTGGAGAGAGGCACTGTGAGAGTAAAGTGTCTTGCCCAAGAACACAACACAATGTCCCTGGCCAGAGCCCCGACTGCTTGCCCCGGAGTCAAGCACACTGACAATGAGGCCACCGCGCCTTCCTTCTATATGTAATTTGTATATATTAAAATACATTCTATTTTTTTCTGACACCTCTGTAAAATAAATGTTTGCGAGAGTTTAAATCAAAATTGAATTGAAGGAGTAGGAGAGTGAAAGGTTGGCATATCTGGGTAGGACACAAAATGTTCAAGATAATTTACGAAAAAAGTCAGTTCAGATGTTAAAATTTGAAAACCCTCTCATCTCCAAATTTCCAAGGACCTTCCTTGATAGGTATCATGTGAACATTTCCTGGAACTGCACTCTGCTGTGTTCTTCCAAGATTTCATTCCAAGAAGAATTAAGTGAAGTTTTTTTTGATCTTTATAATTTCCAGCTAAATTCATCATACAATAGCAACACAAATTAATCTTAATACGTATTCTTACTGCATTGAGATCATGATAATTGAAGACAATACTGAAAATTTTACACCAAGTGAACCATAACCAGACTAGAGTTCTTTTATAGCTTACTTTATTCTATTCTTGGAAAGGTCAGATATTAGGTTTCTTGACTGCGCGACTATCTTACATGGAAAAGTAAAACATTACAGCTTATAGCTGTACTACGAAAAAAATTCCAATTCAAGAAAATTAGCTTAAAAAACAACATATGATCAGCGACTTGAAAATAAACGAGATGTAAGCTGAAACATTGCAAAACTGAAACTCAGATCGGAAGAAGGCACTCAGAAAAGTTATCCTACAATCGTGACTATTAAATTATGAGCCAGCTGCAATGTAATGTCTGCGTTGAATCAATTGTTTGCCTTACGACAAATTGAAACTTACTGCCACAATTTTTCAACAAGTTGTACGAAATACGAGACGAACAACACGGCAAAAAGCTTAAAGTTTTAATCTAGCAAGGAACCTAACCTGCGCATGCCAAAAAAGAAAAGTAAGTCACCACTTGATTTCTTTGGCTTGTTTTGCGCTTGCACGGCTTGGATCGAAGGAATAATCGGAGATGACAAACTTTCGATCTTTTAGAAGCTCATTTTTGCGTCCTATACTTTTATTCTCAAACTAAGAATTTACCAACGAGCTATTTTCGTGCGAGACCACACGCACTTGGACAGCAGACACACACACCCCATAAGAAAGTACTAAGCTTATTCTATAAAGACAACACAAAATCCTCACCGGTTTTCCAACGATAGCTTTGACTTGATCCAGATCTCCATTCTTGCAGGCCCACACTAATTCCTCTCTCATAATGGACGAGAAACGTGAAAAAGTCCTTCTAAATAACACTTATCTTTTCTCGCAGCTAATCTTTGTGTCCGAGCGCCGAATGAGGCTGGCTACCCATAAGCCTTTGCCACTCATCAAAGAGACAATTCCCGGGTTCTTATAAAAACTACTCTTCTTTGCAAACTGAGGTGTGTGTCTGTAAAGGGTGCAAAGATTGCCTTTTACGTAACTTTCAAATCATGGACGACCCATTTACGGTAAGGAGTGTCGCTAAAAGAACCTAGGATAGTCTATTCTTCTATCTTTTTCAAGAAGGGCTGCTTTTATTTAACAACATATTTCTTTGGCTCTGTTTCTACAATAATTAAGCTTGAAGCTCTCAATTGAAACTAATTTTTCCAGTAGAAATCATAGCATTTGATGCAGGTCATGGCCTGTTTTCTGTTCATATTTTATATCTAGAAACCTGTGTTTGTTGCTCTTGGTGTCGTCATTGTTACTGTAGGATTTGGCTTGGTAACGTATTTTCTCAAATCGCAAGCAAAAGGCAGCAAAAAAAGGCCAGTTGCATTAGATCCTCAGAAAAAGATTCCATTCAAACTCATTGACAAAAAGGTTAGTACACTGTGGTCTCCTGGATTATCTCGGAGTATCCTGGTTGCAGAAAGAATCTCCCGGTCTCCCGTAAGGGGCACCAAATCTCCCGCATATGAAATAGGGCGCTTAAAGTACACCCTTACATGTGTTTTGGCCCATTTTGGAGGGAACGCTTTGGATATTTGATGTGTTTTTGTCTTTGAATCGGCAAGACTCTATTTTTCAAAACTTTTTGAGGTGAGGAAGAGGTAAAATTTGCAATCTCTTACATTTCAATTTTTATAGGTTGGTGTACCTGTGTGAATAAGCTTGTTTAGTTATACAATCCAGGTGAAACAGGGACATGGAAGTGGAATCCTGGGGGGAAGGGTGTGGAGCATTTATAGGGGGTGGGAAGTCTATATGGAGAGTGAAGTGTTTAGAGGGGGTGGGAAGTCTATAAGGGGGATGGAAAGATAGAATGCAAGTTAGATTCCCAAGGTGTGGGATCACCTGTGAGATACTAAGCGAACACAATGCAATATTTTGCTATAAAAAAGGCACGGACAGTTGGGAAATTAGAGTAGTGAATGTCGATGAGGAAGTACATTATTGTTAGACTCTTAATTTAAACAGTCCAGCTTTAGTCATGACCAGTGTCCCTGTGTTGTGTTTTGTGGGGTGTGTTGGAAGACAGGAGGTTCAGAAATTAAATCTCCTTGCTTTAAATTGTGCTCTTCTCTTTCTTTTCCATCTGTTTCCTCCTGATTAATCATTCTCTTTTCTGCTCTTGATAAAGACATTATTTTATCTCAGTGCTCCCCTGCTCTCTTCCTCATCCAGGTGAATAAATATGACAACTGGCATTTTGATAGGGGGCACTGACAAAAGGCGAGAGGGTAGCATCCAATCAGGGGGGAGAGGAGAGGAGAGAGGTAGTGATTCACAGAGCATGTTACGGTGTTATGTGATGGAAAGCCAGTGCCTCTGTCCTGCGTGTGTGTGTGTAAAAAATTGATTACAATTTGATTATAACAATCATTATAATTAGGTGGAATTTTAAAACATAAATGTCTTATATAACTCTAGATTGTAAGCCATGATACAAGGAGGTTCCGATTTGAACTGCAATCACCAGAGCACATACTTGGACTCCCTGTGGGTATGTGTTGAGTACAAGTATTTTAATTTTTAATTATTGATAATCATTTAACCTTCTCTGAGGTGATAATAGATTATTCAACTTTTAAAGGAAACCACATGTACCTCAGTGCCAAAGTTGATGGTAGTCTTGTGATCAGGCCGTACACACCGGTAACATCTGATGATGAGGTTGGATATTTTGAGCTAGTAATTAAGGTCAGTAACATATGTGGGATATGTCTTTGACCTTTAGACATTCTTGTGACTGCTATTCTTATTTTCATACTTCATTGCTGGAAATAAATTGAAGGGGTGCGTGCAAAAAAGCCCTAAGTGACATTTTGGTCNACACCGGTAACATCTGATGATGAGGTTGGATATTTTGAGCTAGTAATTAAGGTCAGTAACATATGTGGGATATGTCTTTGTCCTTTAGACATTCTTGTGACTGCTATTCTTATTTTCATACTTCATTGCTGGAAATAAATTGTGATTGGATATCATGACTAATTACCAAAATGACTTACTATCCATTTGTCATGAAGAACTTATTTTGAAGACCATGCTTACTTTGAAATATGTTAAAAATTAAACAAATCATACAGATATGTGGTTCCCTTTGGGAGTTCCAGTTTTGGTTCATACTCTACTTTTAAAAAATTGACTTTTGAAGCTGCCCTTGCTCCTGGAATTTCCAATAGCTGTCCTTGGGGTGGGTATGTATATTTTCTGGGACCACACATTTTTATGTCAAACAATAATAATTATTGTGTCTGGAANGAGTGACCGAACAGAGAACGGCAAATGTACAAATGTCACGAACCGTAGAAGTCGTGTAGGCTAGTCAACCCCATTTTACACAATCACAATTATTGTGATTGGATATCATGACTAATTACCAAAATGACTTATTATCCATTTGTCATGAAGAACTTATTTCGAAGACCATGCTTGCTTTGAAATATGTTAAAAATTAAACAAATCATACAGATATGTGGTTCCCTCTGGGAATTCTAGTTTTGGTTCATACTCTACTTTAAAAAAATTGACTTTTGAGGCTGCCCTTGCTCCTGGAATTTCCAATAGCTGTCCTTGGGGTGGGTATGTATATTTTCTGGGACCACACATTTTTATGTCAAACAATAATAATTATTGTGTCTGGAATTTTTTTATTCAGATGTAAACTATACGGAAATGACAAAGCTACTCCCAGATTTTTGTAGTGAAATTTAAAGGGGCTTTCTTTTGGAGCTCTGTTCTGAGCTGATAGACTTTTTGGGGGGCTGTTTTTAACCAAATTGGACATTTTTGGGTCTAAAAATTTCGCCTCAATTGCACATCCCCAGCTTTCATTGAGACACATCAGACTGAACATTCTAAACCATTTGTTCTAGGTTTACTTTAAGAATGTTCACCCTAAGTATCCTGATGGTGGCAAAATGTCTCAGTACCTGGATACTCTAAGCATAGGCGACACTGTTGATATCAGGGGACCTTCTGGAAAGTTGACTTACTTGGGAAGGGGTAAGTTTTTCTCTTGGTTCTTGTTTGCTATTGTTGTGGAGAAAATGATCTTACATCAATGGCATGTAACAACAGTTTCCAGACTTAAGTACAGGGCTCGAAATTAACACTTGCAAATTTACAAAATGCGAGTCATTTTGACAATCTGCAAGTGAGAAAAATATCCACTAGCAAACGTTTGCGAGTTTAGAATCATACATGTCTCTCAAACATTTGGAAAAAGCTATTTGAACGTAAGAAGGAATGTACGGACGACTTCTGAGACAAATAAAACAGTGGACCCTGAGCTGAGAAGAGCACCTTATTTTGTTAGCCACTGGCCAGCAGTATTACACTGAGGCTCTGTGCCACACCTGCACAGTAGCGTGTTGTTGTTGTTCCTCATGGTTTTGGAGCTATGGTTTTCATTACATATATCAAAATTAACTTCTTTCTTCAAGAGGCCCTCGGGGCTCTCGACCTCTAACACGAGCGAAGACCTCAAGCCACCAAAGAGCAAGAGTTTGAAGTTGGGATCAAATAGAGATAGCATAGCAAATGCTTCTTGTGAATGAGGATTTTCCACAATGAAGAGAGTGAAGTCAGACTGGCATTGTGCTTTGGGTACTAATACCATGGACATGCTGATGAGAGTGAAAATTGAGGGCCCAAGAAAACAGGCTGATTATAGCCCCAGAGCTGCAGTAGATAGGTGTGGTGGTTGTCAGGACAACGTCAAAGGAGACCAAATATTTAATACCTATTTTTTTTAACTATTCAGCTCATTAATAGACTGTGCAAAATAACGATTCTAATCTTTATGTCAGATATGGTCATTGACATTTCAAAGGGAAAGAATTTGCTAGTGGTCTCACAAGTTTGCTGGTGGAAAAAAAATCTTACTAGCAAAACTTTGCAAGTCGACCAAAAAGTTAACTTCGAGCCCTGAAGTATAGTTGAATGTTTTGTAGGCGGATACCCTTTGGACTTGAATATCTATCTTATTTAGAGACATATTGTAGCCCATTAACATTGTTATTTTTAAATGTAACATAAGATATGGAATTTTATCTTTTGAACAATAAAGACACTTTATTTATTTATTTATTTAGTTTGCTTAGGACAGGTGTTAAGCTATGGGAGGTTGAAAATGTAGTGTTTGTATGTGGGTAGTGGGAGTTGCGGTGGCCTCATGGTTAGTGCGCTCGTTTCTTGATCGAGCAGTCCAGGTTCAAGCCCTGGCCAGCGACATTGTGTTGATTGGCCAGTTGACTTATATGCAGACTTTACCTGTTTCACCTTGTATGTGGGTGGAACCTTGACTAAGTGTCTTCAAAGTTTGTCTTCAAGAAGTGTTCATTAGACATGTAAGTTCAACTGTACTTTAAAATTGTCATGAACTGTCACATTTCTGTCTTGGAGTCACAGTCTTTGATTTTCAATAAGGGGCCGTGGTGTTTCAGCAGGTCTTGGCTTTAGCATTTGTTACCCTCACTTGCACCTTTGAAACAAACTGATGCCCAATAATATTGGCTGTAAATTGATAATGTTTCTCTCTCTGCAGGAAAACTTGGAATCAAGGAGAATGCAAAGGAACCTGTACAGTTCAGAACAGCTAAGAATGTTGGCTTGATTGCGGGAGGAACTGGTAAGGAAGTAATGACAGTATCACATCTTTATTTATAAAGGCAGGATATGAGTGTGTGCAAAAATCAAATGCACAAGAGGATGTGGCATGGTGACTGTTCAAAAATGTAAGGGACTACAGTCTTGCGGTGCATATTTATTAAACGCTCAATAACCAATTATCATGTGATTTTGATTAGAATAAATTTCTAATCAGTTTTCATTTTTCCTTGTTTTACAGGCATAACTCCTATGCTACAGATCATCAGTGCTGTGATTAAAGACAGCGAGGATAAAACCAACCTAACTCTTCTTTTTGCTAATCAGGTAAAGTCTTTTGGCATTAAAAAAAGTGGGCATAGAGTTGAAGCTGTCAAGCTCTAGGGGTCTGACCACAGGGGGTCTACATTTTGAGTCATAAAATTGGAGAACGGGCTTCAGCCATGCTCATATGTTTCTATAACCAAGAGCACTTGGTTGTGTGAGATATTCCTTAGTCAAATTATGACCATGATGAACCAACAGCAATTCTTTCCTCTAAATCTGAGTTGCCTTGTACACTGTGAACATAATTAGATCTATTAGATCTAATTAATGTAGGAGCACACTAGGGTTGTACGGAATCTCTCTTCACAGCGGAGTCTGGTATGCTAACCTTCAGGCCATTGTGTGCTCCACACAACTTTGGTTTTCCATTAGTTAACTTCAGCCCGGTGATCTTAATGGAAATATCTTGTGAATCAAATATGGTGTTTTCTTGGGTTGTAGACAGAAAAAGACATCTTGGTACGACCTGAATTAGAAGAGCTGGCTAAGGAATGTGAGAATTTTAAGCTTTGGTACACGCTTGACAGGCCACCTGAAGGTATGGAGACATTTTATACCTTGTTCATGTTTTCGTTTTTGTTACCATTTCTTTTTGTCCACTCTATAGTCTGTGTGGGACTCTGGGAGGGTTACTGTGACACAGGCTACCCCTCCAATGTTATTTGTTGTACTTCTGTTGTGGAAACCTGGAAACCTGCAAAACTCCTTTCAGTTTGTTTGTCTCTTTAGTTGTTAATCTAAATCGCAATCTAAATCTTTGCTGTGTGAGAAACTCCCTAAGTGGGGTATATGTGCAGAGTGACACAGTCAGCAGTTACTGTTTAAAATGGTAGCCTCTTGACTCGACATTCAGTAGGGGGAGGGGGGAGAACAAGTTAATAAGTGGTTCCCTATGGAGTATTCTTTTTTTCCTCAACTTTTATGAGCCATTCAAAACCACATCTGTCATGCCATTATGTTCTGTAACGTGTTCTTTGTTTTTCAATTCCTAGGCTGGCCTTATAGCTCTGGATTTATTAATGAGGTCATGCTCAAGGAACACATGCCATCCCCCGGACCTGACACCCAGATACTGATGTGTGGACCCCCTCCTATGATCAACTATGCTTGTATTCCTAACTTAGAGAAACTCGGTTATACCCCTGACATGTACTTCCCATTTTAAAGCCAGGCGATATGACAAGAATGTCAGTATCGTGATTGTTTTATAAGTAACCTAGTACAAAAATAGTTTTCTATCTACCAGGTGTTAGCCATATAATTAAAACTATAGCGAGAGCAATTGTTAAGTCGGTCCCCCGTTCATCTTAGCCTCTTTGGGTTATTTGTACCTGGACATGACTACAGGGTCAAGAGTGGGGAATTTTTGGAAACCATGAAGGCAATATTTAGCTCTTATTAACCGAGGTCGTGAGTACAGACCGAACGCAGTGAGGTCTGTACACACGACCGAGCTCAAGATTCTCCCATACAGACCAACTTAGCTTGGTTAATAAGATGTTTATTATATAGCAAAGAAGAAAACTTTAATTCGTTTAATGTAACTGGTTTGTACTAGCTGACATTTTGTTTGCGAACAGCGATGAGCTTAACTTAAACCTGCCGAAATTTGCTCGTCCTCTCTACTTTTTTTGGTCATCAGGCTTTTTGGCACTTCCATAAATGATTGAGAAGAAAATAAAAGAAAATGGTGAACATTTTTGTATCTTAGTTTGCTACTTTTTC